GCCTTGGTGCCCCACTACCTGGATGTGGGAAGGGGAAGAGAGGGCCTAAGAAGGTGTTCATGAAGGATGGAGAACAGGCAAAACCAAGGCAGGGAGGGTGGCAGGGACTGCTAACTGCCTTGGCAATACACATAACCCTCTTCTCTCTCAGTAACAAGTTCAAATCCTGGTTTTACTCAGCCAGAAAAGCACATAACTAAAGGACTCTATTTCCAAGCCCCATTTGTCAGTTTTGAGTAGCCAGTGAGATGTAAACAGAATTGGCTGGGTGGGGTTCCATGAGAGCCCTTAAAAGGTCTCATGCAGCAGAAATTGTGCCCCTTCTACCTTTACTCTTCCTCCCTTCTGCCCTGGAACACAGACATGAGGGCTGGAGTTCTAGCAGCCATTTTGTGACCATGAACTTCCTTGAGGAATTAAGTCACCTGCTAAGGATCATGGGTCAGAAATATAGAATGCCACTGAAATCCTGTCATACTAGGTGTCCTGCCAGCTTGGACTGTCCACTTCTGGATTTCTTTTGTTAGAGACGACAAAACCCTAGTTTGTTTAAGCCATTTTATTCTGGCCTCTACTGGCAGCCAAAAGCAACCACTACCTAATAAAGGGAATAAAACAGTCCCAAAATATTCACAAGGCACCAGGTCCAATGCATGTTATTTTTTTCTGCTGACAAGATAAAAGTTGAGATTTGAAAGTCACTGTCCATCTAAGACCAAACCTAAATGACGTTATATCCTTCCCTTTATTCCAAAGCTTACAAAAGACTTCCCTTCCCCTACCTGCTTCAGTTCTGTGGCCCTTTTTTCAGATATGTGTCTCCCTCACACCTGCCCAAGCACCTGCTCCTAAGGGGCACTCATAACCCTTTGCCATCCACGGGGCTGACACAGTGATGTGGTCGATAAACACCCTTTCAGATCCTACAAATTTGGGGTTTGGGCAGTGGTTGGCCTCACTTATATCCAAGGGTCGTTCTGCCTGTAAGTTAGCATGCACAAAAACCCCCACATTTCACTGGGAAGAAATAACCTGTACGTGTGTATATGTCTTGGTTGCCTAATGAGGTCTTTGGTGAGAATTGTGGCTTTCAATAAGGTGACCCCACTCTGGTTCCATTAAAGACCAGGCTTTACCAGGGAAGCACAGGCGCATGTTAATTAAGTGCTTTATGAGCCTGAGCAGGACAGGCATGAATGGATCAAATGCTGACACCATCCCCAGGCAAATCAAAGAAGCCCAGTGTCCCCATTAAGCCCAGTGGAAAAAAGGAAGAATGTATACATCTAGAGAGGCTATTTCTAAATAGAATTCCTAAGTCCTATATTTTCTAGGAAATGTTAGTGCTTATAGTCTGAATTGTATCTCTGGAATCCTATGATCAAGGAGAGGTACCAAGTCGGAAAATTGTATTGCACCGTCTGACTGCTGTAGAGTCTTGGCAAAATGACTTCAATTTATTTCCTACCTCATCCTTATGAATCAGGATTTATTAGACTCTTGGCACTGCCTAATTTTGACTTCGAAGGTTTTTCCATCACTAAAACTTCAGCATCCACTATTCTGTTCCCCTCATTCTTGCCTATTCCCCTTATTCAATGTAAAGCAACTGGAATGAAGTCGACAAAGTGATTGGTTTTTATTTTAGTGATTCTAAATGAATAGCCTTGTGCTCCGTCTTCCATGGATTATTGTCGCTCTGTGTAAGGAAGGAGGATTATTAAATATATAATGCTGGGCCTTCCTCTCTGTCATCATGACATTTATCCTCCAGCTGCAGAGGTTCCTGGTCTACATCAAACAACTAGGGAGCAATGCAAGGAGAAGAAAATGCTGTGTCCAAAGCCTGGGAAAGACACCAAGCTCCAGGAAACAGGTCAGAACAGGCCAGGGTTATGGGAAAAAGCTTTGTGCATGAACTAAAGAATTAGCGAGAGTTCTTAAAGAACAGGGGGAAAAGAGTGGATAGGTGAATAAAAATAGAGAATACTTAAAAAATATTCACATATCCTCACTCTCCAGTCTTCTTTGACTCTGATTCCTAGACTGAACCTTACACATCATCTCTCTCCTTTCGTTCACCATTACAAAAATTTTTCTAGAACTGGCAAGTCGGGTTAAGATGTTTTTCATTCAGTTTCAGAAATGATTTCTGATACCTTGAATTATACTTTGCAAGTGACTTTAGGAATTATATTTCAACTCTGTGGTTATACACATTAAGGAAATTGATGTGCAGAAAGATTATGTAACACATTATGGTCAAGTTTACACAGCAAATCGGGGGCAGAGCAAGAATGAGAAGTCAGGTCTCCTGATTCCCGTTTCAGGCTCTTTCCACTCATAGTGGAGGACTATCCACCTGACTCTCTTGGACCTCTGCATGTCAGGCATTTGTCTGGTCTGAATATCCTAAACAGCAGCCTGTCCTCAGAAATATAAGAAGCTAAGTGAGAGGCATGGTCACATCATCCAAGATGACTCTTGCTACTGGGGAAATGGCACAAGGCAGAATACACATATTGAAGTCCATATATGTCCCACAGTTGTGACATCTTCACATGTGAATCATAGCACCTGTGATATGTGTTCTGTGGTCTTCAAACAAGGGTCAGCAGCATACCACAACTGTGCCTTCCTAGGACGTGCCCTGAGCCACCTGCCACACCAGTAGTACATCCTGATGGGATTGCTGATAAGAACCAATATGCATTGTGTACTCATCCATGCTCCCCTTTTCAAGAGTCAGTTCAGCCCTGCACACATGCTATCTCTTTACACACCAGGAGGAACCATTTGGGGACCTTGGCATTCCAGGCACATCTAGGATGCCAGCTGCTCCTACAGGGCAAGAGTCCTACCATATGTTAAACCACTTCACTTGAATCTGATACCAAACTCTGTTTCACTCACACCTGCTTTCTTTCCATCACCGCCCTTTTTTTTTTACCATAACTGTTTTTATACATTTTATTATACATCCTTCAAAGCATCATCTTCTGGATGAAATGATTAATAAAGAGCCCCTTACTTCTTCCTACATCCAGCTTTGTTGAAAGAGCATTCTAGTTTTTGGGTATTTAAAGTACTTCGGGTTTTTTAATGATCCTAGGTAACTGGTTTGGTCACTGACACCAGTGATCATTGTCAGTGTTTTTCTGAGAAGCATGACAACTGAGACTAAACCTGTCTTTGGTAAAAATTGGGACTTTCTATAGAGTTCTTATTACTGGAATCCCTGGTTTCTATCAAAGCTGAGTTTAATTCAGTGGGAAAAGCTCACCTTTGCCAAGAAACAAGTTGTGTGGTGAAAAAATATGGGCTCTGGAGCCAAGCACCGCATTTGGTGCTGCTTTTACTCGATAAACCCTGACAGGTACTTCACCTCAGAGCCTCAGTTTTGGGTTTGTAAAATGAGGGTAACTTCTGCAAGCAGTATCAATTGAAAGTGGGATTACTGGGTCCGAATAAATGCTCACAAACAGCTGCACTGATATAGGCATTTTAGGAGAAAGATAAAAGTCTGTGCTTCTTACTCAGCCATATGGAAATGCAGTCCAATATCATTGAGATTAAAGACAATACTCACTACACTTCATGTACACATCTTGAATAGTCTCCCCTCCAATTGCTGCTCATAATGACCATTTTTTCTTGAGCCTTTGCTGAGGACAGCAGAGCTCTATTTTTAGGGAGAGTTCCTTGCAGTTAGAGCAGCCTTTCAATCCCACATCGGTTTGTCACAGTAAAAACTACCACCACCAATGGTCAGCGGATGTGAGATTGAAAGACATCAAGAGCTTTCTTTGGAAACAGTCCCCTGGACATTTCATTTCCTAGTACAAAGCTTAAGGAAACATCTTTCTTGGCAGACTGGCTGGCACAAGCACTACCTTTCTTTAATAAACAGACCATGACTATGCCACCTTTGTGTTGTTAGAACACCCAGAAGCTGTGTGTCCAAGCCAACTGGGTCTTGGTCCTTCCCCAGGGCAGGGGGACCTGGCTCTTACTAACTTGTTGGCAGACCCTGTGGTGTTCCTGCATCTTAGCAATTTGCCTCATCTTTAGAAAATGGAACTCGGATGTTGAATGTACTGGGTTCTGCCTTTCAGAAAAGAAGCCGGTATCCAAATATCCACAAGTGGTTGCCAGAACATCTCAAATAATCTTCTAAGAACCACAGAGTTGAAAATATGCATGGAAGCTTCTGGACTTTGGATGGAGCTCCAGGTAACAAGTAAGAGATACAAGATACTGGACCCCAAGGGGGAGAAAGGGAACAAGTGTTACTCAGCAAAAATAAAAAACCAGGGACATAGAACATTCTGTCACCATCTCACCCAGCGATGCCATGGGCTCTGGAGCTAGAATTTGCCCTCAGACTGCATGCGTCGGGGCTAAAACAAACCTCTCACCAGTGAAAAGACCATTTCTAAGTAACTCAAGGAAATTCTTAAAATACAAGCCCAATCTATTGTAACTGCCTGTCTTTTTTAAACATTGCAAAACAAAACAAAACATAACTACCTACAGCATACGTATCTCCTATTAAGATGTTTGATTCCAAAAATAAAAACTAACACAATACTGTTTTAACAGTGAAGAATTCTTGAAAACGTTCAATGTTCATCCCAGGGGTTGCCATTATTTTAATTTTTTTTTAACAAACTGAATCCAGAACTCCCTGGAAATTCCTGGTGGTACCTAGTGAAAAGTGTCCTTTGTAGAGTAAGCCATTATTCAAAACACCTGGTTGTGTATATGGCCCTTCCCGTACACGGCGGTGAAGATGTGGCTCAATGAATAGGAAGGGTTAAGAATGTCTCTTCCGAATTGCACACCCACCCTCGCTCGGGTCCTCCAAACAAACACAGAACCCCTCCTGTGGATTTCGATCAACTCGCCCGCATTATGACCACCCAAGGAATACAATCTTCCCCATGCAAAGTCGACAGGAAGCTGAACCTGGGAGTCTGTGGGACCCCACGTTTACTCACTTGTCTCCTTCAAAACTTTTCCCAGTAATAACGTTCTTCCCTTGGGGCACATAGTTCCAGTACTCCTCCACTATCCCAATGTGGTATGTTCTGGTAACTGCGCCAGCCAGCCCAGACAGACCCAGGAAGGTGAAGAGAAGGATGCAGTCAGCGTGCTGCTTCCGAGGCATTTGTGGATCTAACTCAGGGAAGCAGCCTGCGCAGGAGGCAGCCCTGCCTGTCCCTCCCCCTCAGAGCCAGTTATGAATAAGGAATGAACAAGGCCCAGCTCCTCCTCCTCAGGTAGCCTGGGGTTGGGACAGAGGCTGACAGCTTGGAAGCACAGCAGCTTCGATGGGGAGCTGCTGTGACGACAAAACTTTTGCCGGCCATCTAAGAAATGTGTAACTGTCTTATTTATGTACTGCCCAAGCCAAACAGGCGTGTGTCTGGAAGTTCTGGTGCTCTGTTCTCACATTAGTTATTCATCTTTGCCAAGAATGGCAACGCAGTAAGTTGGGCTGATGGATTTTCTCCTTTCTTCCTCTTTTTTTCTCCCCACCTATTACTGAAACATATGAAAATCCAAAAATCTTGGCTGGCCTGACCGGGGCATCAGGAAATATTCCAAGTGCTAAAGAAGGCTTCATCTTGGTTGGGAGGGCAGAGGGAGTGATTTAATCACCCTCCGCCATCTCCAGCTTGTTTTATGAGGCTACATGAAACAATCAACTCACATCATAAAGGTCATAATAACATTGTAAAGCCACACTAATTCTCTAGTTGCTCATGCACCAACCTCCCCAAATTCTCTCTAATCCTACCAGCAAGAATGAGCTCAACGGCATAGTTCAGCCAGAATTTTAGAGGTCACCACCCCCAGCGAGCTGCCTTTCTGAGGATGGATGAGGAAGACACAGGAGGAGCCCTGCAGGCTCATGAAGATAAAATTCAGTAGCAGGTCTTTAGGTCATGAAGGTGAAGGGAGCGCCGGTCTTCTGTGTGCTCTAATCTGTGACCTAGAATCTTGGTGTTGAAAGAGACCTCATGCAACCCTGAAAGACAGCCAGTATCATTTCCAGGCAGGGTTGCTTTTAAGGCAACAGCTGTGGAATGAAGGAAACAGCCTACTGCCTGAGCTTTGAGGTCGGACAGATAGGTGCTTGAATCCAGTTCCATCACTTACTAACTTTGTGGCATTGAGGAATCTCAGGACCTCTCTGTGCCTGGGTCTGGAAGTCAGGGATGGAGGGATTGTGAGGATGTGAAAGATGGTGTAGGAGTAAATCTAGATGACTCTGGATTTGATAACTTTTTAGATACAACACCAAAGACACAATCTGTGAAAGAACTACTCGATAAGTTGGACTTCAAAAACGTTAAAAATTTCTGCTCTGTGAAAAGCAATGTCAAGAGAATGAGAAGAGAAGCCACAGACTGGGAGAAAATACTTGCACACGACTCATCTGATAAAGGACTGTTATCCAGAATATACAAAGAACTCGTAAAACTCAAAAATAAGAAAATAAACAACGTGATTTAAAAATGGGCAAAAGACCAAAACTGACACCTCATCAAAGAAGATACACAGATGGAAAATAAGCATATGAAAAGATGCTCCACATCATATGTCATCAGGGAAATGCAAATTAAAACCACAGTGAGATACCACTACACACACCTAATAGAATGACCAAAATCTGGAACACTGCCAACACCAAATGCTGGTGAGGAAATGTGGCAGTGGGAACTTTCATTCATTGCTAGTGGGAATGCAGAATGGCAGTGGCTGTTTTGGCAGACAAATTTGCAGTTTCTTTCAAAACTAAACATACCATATATGTTAATCATCTTACAATATAATAGTTATATATATACCTCAATAAAACTAAAAAAAACCACATGCTTTTACTATATGATATAGCAATCATGTTCTTTGGTATTTACCCAAAGGACTTCAAAACATGTCCCCACAGAAACCTGCACACAGATGCTTATAGCAGCTTTTTTTCTTTTTTTTTAAATTAAGGTATCATTGATATATACTATTATGAAGGTTTCACATGAAAAACAATGTGGTTACTACATTCACCCTTATTATGAGTCCCCCTCATACCCCATTACAGTCACTGTCTATCAGTGTAGTCACAGAGTCCCTACTTGTCTTCTCTGTGCTACACTGTCTTCCCCATGACCCCCCACACACCATGTGCACTCATCATGATACCCCACCATCCCCTTCTCCCTCCCTCCCTCGCCCCTCCCCTTTGGTAACTGCTAGTCCCTTCTTGGAGTCTCTGAGTCTGCTGCTATTTTGTTCCTTCAATTTTGCCTTGTTGTTATACTCCACAAATGAGGGAAACATTTGGTATTTCTCTTTCTCTGCCTGACTTATTTCACTGAGCATGATACCCTCCAGCTCCATCCATGTTGTTGCAAATGGTAGGATTTGTTTCTCTCTTATGGCTGAATAGTATTCCATTGTGTACCAATAGTACCACATCTTCTTTATACATTCATCTACTGATGGACACTTAGGTTGCTTCTTTCATATCTTGGATATTGTAAATAGTGCTATAGCAGCTTTATTTTTAATTGCTAAAATTTGAAAGCCACCAAATGTCCTTCAGTAGGTTAATCAGTAAATTAACTGTGGTATATCCAGACAATGAAATAGTAGCACAGAAGGGAAATGAGCTATCAAGTAATGAAAAGACATGGAGGAAACTTGAGTGCATATTACTAAATAAAAGAGGCCTGTCTAAAAATCTGCATATTGTGTGATTCCAACTAAATGACATGTTGGAAAAGACAAAACTCTGGAGGTAGTAAAAAGATCAGGGGTTATCAGGGCTTTGTGAGGAGGCAAGGATGAATAGGCAAAGCATAGAGGATTTTTATGTTGGATACATGTCATTATATGTTTGTCCAAACCCACCGGATATATAACACCAAGAGTGAACCCTAATGCAAACTGTGGCTTTGGGTGGCAATGATGTATCAATGTAGGTTCATTGATTGTAATACATTACCACTCTGGATGGGGAGGTTGATAATAGGGGAGCGGGAGGTGTGTGGAAAAACTACCTTCTGCTCAATAATATCTGCTCTGAACCTAAAACTGCTCTAAAAAGTGTATCTATTTTGAAGAAAGAAGATTTAAAAAGACAATGTCTGCAAAATGCCTACCATAGCTCCCAACACAGAGTAGGTGTGCAATAGACATTAAATCCTCCTTCCCCATCTGTACCCTGTAAGACAGACTCTCCACCAACTGTGTGATGGCAGGCTTGCCTCCCTACCACATTCTTCAGCTTTTCTTCCCAAAGTCCCATCTACCACACCTCCCACCGGCCTCTAGTAAGAGTTCTTTTTCTTTAAATTGTAGATACTCTAAAGATGTGCCATAGCATGAGTTTTGAATTTGTGCCCATCTTGGCTAATAAAATACATGCTTGAATACCCTGCCTCATAGCCAGGCACTTAACATCTTAGATTTATCGATTTGCGTTTATGTCAGGACACTTGTAGGGTAACTGCCATAGCACATTTCCCTTTAACTCAAATCTCTTCAACATGGGTTTGGAAGCTTTGTGTGAGTTTGTCAAAGTAAGAGCTCACAGGGTGAACCTGAGCATGGCCACAAAAGAAGTAGGACTTTAAGAGCTTTTGAAATTTGGAAATATCCCAGACTAAACAGCATTAGTTAATACCCCCAGAGAAGCAGGCTATTTGGCACCAAACAGGAGTGATGTGGTATCAAAAATTCATTAGGATGTATTTTGCCCAAATTCTTTTAGACTGGAGAAACCAAGGTATAAATGGCACAGGTCAAAAACCTAGAAGAGACTTTCCTAACCTAGGAGACCAAATGCATATAACAGAACCACAAGGAAGGAATCTCTGAATCTCTGTTCAAACTGAGGCCCACAGGAGGAGAGAGACCAAAAGAACTACATGGGCTGCAGAAATGAGATCAATGCCTTCAGTCCATTCGGAGCTGAGAATGTGGCTGTTGAGGGACCCAAGTGTCGGGGACAGCGCTTACTAAAAGTAACGAAATACTGTTCTGGAAAACTCTCTGAAAGTCTTCCTTACTCTAGGACAATAAAAATGTTCCACAAACATCTGAATTACATAAAAGCCAAAGAAAAGAAAAGAAACTGGTGCAAGTACATGTGGTGTTTCTATGACAGTCATTCCTGAAAGCCCACAGTTCACTATAAGACATGACTGACAAGATCTAAAATTGTATCAGGGAATCTGTGAGGAATAACATGAACAAATACTTTCAAACCTGGACATGATTCAGACAAATAAGCAGAGAAGTCCAACATTTATAGAGCACCTACTATGTGGGATGGACAGTCCAAGATATTCACTCCATTATCTCCTCAATGTATTCACCAGGTCTGAGATGTGTTAAATTTGATGTCATGTGTCAAGAGAAGAGAAAGATAATCTTAGATCCAATCATATTTCTCTGAAACTTAGTATAGGATATTCAAACAATAAAACTTATAGTGGAAGAAGCCAATTCAGAGAAATAGTATTCTAGCTGACCTTAGCTGAGGTGTCATTATAAATAATCACTAAAATGTGAATGATGAAATTAGCTGTTTCAGTCTTTACACTTTTTTGTGAATTTTAAGAGATATATTAAACATTCCTTAAGAGATTCTTGACAGCATAAACTCTGATTAAAAATTCCCATCAGTCCAGCTCTCTCACTGCCCTGCTGCAGTAGGTCATGGCTCCTGACCTCCCTGGGACCCATGAGTTCCTTGACGGTACCTGTTGTTTCTCACCTGGAGTCCTACAGCTTCCCAACCACTCGCACTGGGGCCAGGCGCAGTTTCTGACTGCAAGTAGGACTAGGTCTCTCTGCTGCTTGAGATACTTCAGTAGTTCCCCACAGGCTGTAGGAGAGGAGCTGACAGCTGTGGCTTGACTTTCAAGCCTGGGTCTGACCTGTGCCTTGGGCACTGAGGACCTCTCCTCAGCGTTTAGTCCATGCTCTGACCCTCATCATCGTCCTAGCAACCAGGACGCCCTTTGTCTGCGCTCCCGTCATCCCTTTGTGTGCACCTTCGCCATAACACTTACCACAGGGCTCAGGAGCCCCCTGTTGGTTTGTCTGCCCTCCCACACAAACACTCAACACAGGCTTCTGATGGGCAGGGCCTGGGCC